TTTTGTGGATGTTTTAATTTGAGCCATATTCCTCTGGATTCCATCCATTGTGTTTTTATTTCATCAAACTGTAACTTATTACAGTGGTGATACGAGTTGTCGTGTTTTCGCTCTTACTCATTGCAAACAGAAAGGCTCATGGAGTCAGCTTTCCCCAGAATTTGGATTTAGTCAGCTGTGCCCTGAAGTTAGTCAGTTGCCTCTTCCTCAGATTTTCTTGGAAACAAACGCCCATGATGAATTTTTTTAAGTTTCACAAAGGTGTCAAAATAGCCTTTCAGAAGATACAGCACATTTGGAACATGGAGAATGCATGGGGGCAGGTCAGTGCGTCCAAGCAGGGTGGACTCCAGTGTCCTGCCCCACTGAGCCCAGTGCTGCAGAGGGTCCCGGCCTTCCCTGTGTATTGAGAGCCTGCGTCTGCTGATGCTCCCTGCAGGGCTCCTGGTCCAGCTCTGCATTCCGGTCCTCTGACAGGGCCTCTTCTCTCTCTCATCTAACCTACTCCTGCCTGACAACCAAAGTAACGTCGTCCAATTGAGGGTTAGCTTTGGTTGTGCCCTTCTCTCAGCGTCTTTGGGATGGGTTCCAACTCTTTGGCAGGGCCCCTGGTCTCTCCTAAACTTTGCTCAATGACTTTCTCTGCATCTGTTCTCGTGAGTGCCTCCCCCTGGATCCCATGCCCATGCCTGCTTCACAACCTACACCTCTGCACAGTTTCCTGCTTGCTGCTTTCCCTTTCCCACCCCCTGGTGCCCTTCAAGACCCGGTGTCCCTTCCATGGGTCTGGGATGGTCAGCCTTTCCTCATGTTCCTGGAGTCTCCCTAGAGCACTAGTGTGCAGGTTACTAGACCCACACCCTTGGGTCTGCTCAGCCCAGTCCCACCTGTGCTGCTCAGATGATTCTAGAAAGCTACTTTTGCTTATCTGGCCTGTTTCCTCATCGAGGATAAGAGGTACAGGTGAGTAGGCCTTCTTCAAAGTGCTTGGGACCCAAAGTGGTTCAAATTTGGAGTTTTTTTTTCAGATTTTTGGAATATTTTCATAAACATAATGAGGTATCTTGAGAATGGGACCCAAGCTGAACCCAAGATTCACTTGTGATTCATATATACCATGTGCACATTTCTGGTAGGTAATTTTATACATTAGTTTTGATAACTTGGTGCATGAAACCCAAATTTCATGGTGTGGAATTTTCTACATGAGGCACTCAAAAAGATTCAGGTTTTAGAGTATTTTGGATTTGGAGGTTAGGGATGTGTAACTCACAATAATAATCAGAGCTGCTTTCCAGAGTCTCTGAGAATTAACTGAGATAATACATGCAAAACATTGGCTTAGTGCCCAACTCAAAGCAGGTTCCCAAAAAGTAGCACTCATTATCATCATCTCCGAGCCTCACCATCATGCCTGTTTAACAGGTCTCCTTCCTGCTGGGGAGCCTTATTTGTCTCTCCATCTCTATCTTTGCATCCACATGTCATGGGGCTGGTTATAAAGTTGCAGATAAAGAGCTGGATGCCTAGTTATATTTGAATTTCAGATAAATAAAGAATAATTTTTTTAGTATAAGCATGTTTGAAAAATTACATGAGACATACTTTTACTAAAATAAATGTTTTTATATATCTGAAATCCAAATTTAATTGGGTGCCTTGTATTTTTATTTGCTAAATCTAGCAACCCTAATTGATGTACTTCATCTAAATTGCTTCCCATGTCAAGTCATTCTGATTTAGGACTTATAAAGCCTCAGGATGATTCCAAGTGTTTACTTATGCAATAATTTGATATGTCACTTTTGTGTCCCTTTGTGACCCTCCCCAGGATGACCACAGTCTCAGTGCAGAACTCACCATTGTGAAACTGGCAGAAATAGGCCAACTAGAAAAGAATACTTGCCATTGCTACCATGTCCCCCTTGACTTCAACAGGGGTGCTGACCGAGAGGACTGAAAGGAAAGAGTTCCTGGGGGATAAGAGTTCCCGAGGCATCAGCCCTCTCTGCTCCTCCACCTTGGAAGGACTGAGTGCTCCGGAAGTAAGCCACCTCCAAGTCCCCACCCTTCCTGCCTCCTCTCCCGCCTCCCCACCTGCCCATGACTTTGAGAGTAGGCTGGGGAGGTGCCCAGGAGATGGGACCCTCATCTGCCAGGTGGGATGAGTGAGATGCCCTGATGTGGAAGAGGAGGGCGAAGGCAGACTTCAGAACATTTACCTGGATCAAGGGTGCCGCCCACAGCTGCAGCTATGGGGCCAGAGTTGGCTGGGGTCTGGGGCCCAGCAGAGAGGGGAGCAAGGGGAGTTCCCTGCAGGCTCCCAGACAAAGAAGAGCCAGGCTGAGAAACGGTGGTGACAATGGCCACAGAGGAGGCAGCCAAAGGCCACTCACAGAGCTACAAACAAAGTGGTCTCTAGAGGCCAGACCAGACACTCACTTCCCTCAACATGGACAACTGTAGTCCCAGGCTGAGGATGCGACAGGGAGCAAGGGTCAGGACTCCTGCCCCTTCCTGGGGTCATCCTAGCAGGGCATAAGCTGTGTGGACCCTCGGAGAGGAGGACAGAAAGAACCCCCAGGTGGGCCCCTCGGAGAGCAAAGCCACATCCCTGTGGAGAAGGCGGCTGGGCCGGGTGCTGCGCTGGGTTCCCTCTCTTCCTCCTGCTGCTGCAGGAACCACCATAACGTAGCCACGGCGTGGGAACCCACGTGGGCTTCCTATCATTGAACGCAATGAATAACGAATATTCCATGTAATGGGACCTTCGTGGTGGTTTCTGATCTTTAAATTTATTTTTTTTCTTCCTTCCCTCCTTCCCTCCCTCCCTCCCTCCCTTTCCCCCTCCTTCTCTCTCTCCCTCCCTCCCTCCCTCCCTCCCTTTCCCCCTCCTTCCCTCTCTCCCTCCCTCCCTCCCTCCCTTCCTTCTCACTCTCCTCTTTCTTTCTCCTCATCCTCTTGATCTCATTTGTTTTAAAATCAGCTCAAGAAAAAAAAGAAAGAGACGAACAAGATTGTGTTGGGTCTTTTGGGGGTGAAACGCGGTGCATCTGCTGCCTGAGCATCACTGCACACTCAGGATCTGCCATCAGTTGTGCTGGTCGGTTGGAGATCAATCAATCAAGGGCCCTCACTGTGGTCTTGCTGGATCCACTGAGGGAGAATCTGCTTCTCTGGCTTCCAGCCTCTGAGGGCGCCAACATATCTTGCCTAGTGGCCTCGTCACTCCAGACGCTGCTTCCACTGTCACTTGGACGTCCCTGTCCGGCCTTCCTGCAATCCTCTCAGAAGAACTTCTCTGATTACATCAATACCTCCCAAATAACCCAAGTACCTTCCCAACACAGGATCCTTGATCACACCTGCCAAGTCCCTCTGACATGCATGCATGCTAAACTCCAGAGGCTCTGGGGATTGGGACAACCTTGGGACATGGGTCCTTGGAACTGGCCTGCTCCATTGAGTGGTGGCTTCTCGTCTCCACTTCCCTTTTGCGTCTGTTCGGTGCTCCCCTTTTGGTCCCATGTTTCTGAAGGTGGCACCCATGACCCCTCCAGTGGCACCTCCAGTGGCAGCCTGCATTAGCCCTTTCCTCAACATGTGTCCTGCCTGTGCTTGGTCCTGTTGTTGAGGGAGACGGGAGCTCCTTGATCACAAACCCTGGTCCTTGCCCAGTGTCCTCAGTCCTGCAAGCTTGTGGTGTGGTGTGTGTGTGTGTGTGTGTGTGTGTGTGTGTGAGTGTGTGGTGCAGGGACACATGCAGCACCACTCCTGAACTTCTGAGATTTTCCCGGTCTTCCTGTAGAAGTCTAATGTCTTGCCTTACTTTTTACAACTTCCAGTGCTGTTAGTCACATGCTTCCAAAAACCATTATAACGTTGCAATGCAAAGCACTTCATGAAGCCACAGGAAGGCAACCTGATTTCAACTCCAGTAAGGCTGCTGGCTTTCTCAAACCAGGCCCAGCTTGCCGGGGTCCCTCTCTCCCTGCAGCCTGGACCCCAAGAAACAGGGGAACTCTCAGCTAAGCAAAGTTGAGTGTAGCTCTGCTCTAGGTGCACTTTCTCCTGCTCGTAGCCTCCACATGAAGTGTTTAGGTGCCTTCAGTGGCCACGAGGGCCCCCTTCCCAGTGCACTGCATGGCCTAGAGAAACTCAGAGAAATTGCTTCTCAAAATAGGTGCCAACTAGAAGAGAGGTAAACCCAGACTTCCCTGTGTGGCTTCGTCACAGAAGGTGGCCTCTGACAAAGCTCAGGAGTTGTGACATGGCCTTTTCAGAGTCAGGAGATCCTCACCAAGCTGTGTGATGACTCTCATTGGAATATCTGCTGCACATCTCCCACCGGTAAAGGAATCGATGCAATGTAAAGGGGAAGACAGAGAAAGAAAAGAACCTTTGTTCTCCTGCATTCTATTTTCAATACCACACTTATTTTTGCCATGCCATTCTTGCAGATGTGTGCCGATGTGCCCGTGGATCTTTCCAGCCACGTAAGTTTAACATTACAAAACAAGCATTCCCTTATCCCTGTGGTGACAAGGACACCACCTGTGGTTCTGGAAAGACAAAGTGGAGTGATGAAGAGACCAGGAAGAAGACTGACTTAGATGCCTGCCCATTCCCCAACTCCTTAAGTCAGATCTTGGGAATGAACCTGGCGTGATTCTCAGACCCCCACCTGCTGATGTCCCAAGACTGCCAGAAATTGAAATTTCAAACTGAGAAAATATGGAAAGTGCTCAAAACCATGGCTGGGACTGTGGTATGCTGAACCAGGGCTAATCCTGCTACTCTGCAGAGTTCAAAGACACAGGTATGGGATGGGAACGGGAAGGACAGTAGAATGAATCAGAGTAAATTTCCTATGAGTTATTACGACCAGTGTAACTGTACAGCACTTTCAACCGCAAGAGTGGGAGGCTATAGTCCATGCATGTATGATGTGTCAAAGTATATTCTACTGCCACGTGTAACACAAAAGAACAAATAAAAAATTTAAAAAGACATAGGTGCATTGTATCAATTTTCTCTTTGTGAGTAACAAATTTTTATAGACTTAATAGATTAAAAAAGCATGGGATAGTTTGTTAGGATAGTTCTGTAGGTCAGAAGCCCAGCAAAGGGAGCGGGGGTCATCAGGCTCTCCAGGGTAGAAATCAAAGTTGATGGGCTGATGGCCTGTCTGGAAGCTCTGGAGAAAATTCTATTTCCAAGTTCATTCTTGCTGGTAAAATTCAGTCTCTCGCAGACATCAGATTGGGACCCCTGCTTCCTGCTGGCTGTCGACTGGAGGATGCCCCCCACTTTCCAAGTCACTCACTTTCCTTGTCATTTGAGTCTTTCCTATCTTCAAACCAGAGAGGGAACTTGAGAACTTTACTGTGCTTTGAGTCCAACTCCAGCTAGAAAATCTCTCTTCCTAAGATGAGCTCAGGTGATTAAGGTGGACCCATGTGGGTCCTTGCTCCATCTTCAGATAACTGTCCTACAACATGACCTGCACATGAGTACAGCTCCATCCCTTCCCAGTACAGGAGTATCCAGGGCTCAAAACCAGGTGGGAGAACTGGTGCTCATCCCAGAATCATCTACAGTTGTTTTTCACCCCAGCATTTGCTGGCTCTGTGAACTTGGCCAAAGGACTCTTTAACTCTGAATCCTCCTGCTTCACACATCCCTATGGATGAAGTGAGAGAATGGAGATCAGTCTACCTCAAAGAATTATGACTTTCAAATGAAATACAGCCGACACTGCATTTTGTAAACTATATAGTTCTTTTCTTTAACCACACATTTCCCTTTGCATAGCATTTAAAGAATTCTCACATTGTATAGCAAGTTTTTTTTTTTACATATCTGCCATTTTTCTCAGGAATTCCAGAATGGTTGGCAGCAGGTATAATGTTGATTTTAACTCCACTCTTCCCACTAGTTTAAATTGATCATATGAAGGCAATTGTCCAGTAACTATGAAATGAATGTACACCGAATGTATGCCTAAATTTTAAAAGCTCACAAGGGACTCAGGTATATATAAAGAAATGTAAAGATGTACTAAATTCTTTCTTGAGAGTGCTGGAAAAAAGTGATATATATATATATATATATATATATATATATATATATATATATATATATATATATATATCACAGATCAAATGTGATTTAAAAAAAAATAAGTCTTTGGTGAAGATATTACCCAGCAGCATTTAACTTGCAATTAATCAGTTAATAGATAAGACATAAATGCAGTGTTCTACCTTAGCAATAAATTTATACTTAAAACATTGCAGAATACAAGAAGGAGATTAAGGGGAGGGAGGAGGGATAGGAAAGGAGAGGACATGTGAATGAATATGTCAAAATTATGCCATGTGCCTGTATAACTATACGATAGTGAATTCCACCTTCATGCACATCTATAGATCACTAATCAAAAATAAATAGGTTAAAAAAAAACAACAGAAGGAAGACCAATACAGTAGCAGAAGGGCAGAGGGTGAGGAGGAGGAAAGGGAAAGAGGAAATGCCCAGGACTGGAATGGAGCCGTTTAAACCCCATGCATGTAGGATTGTGTCAGATGAGCCCGGCTGTTACGTACAACTACAAGGCACTAATAAAGCTTTAAAAAGAAGCATTGCACTGCAGTGATGTATGATTCTGTGCATTTTGCAATTTTCTGAAAGAGCTTGACAACAACTCAATTTAGCTATGTAGGCCCAGAGACTCCAAACTCCTTACTGGGGAGAAAAATCCCAAAACAGAAATTGGATTTTGCTGTTTATTTCTGTATTGTGTTTGTGTATCTTCACAAAGCATTCCTCTTACAAACTGTTCTATAATATTTTGCTTAGAAACTAGAGATCTCTTTACCCAAATACATGTACGAAGTAGAAAGAAAATCTTGCTTTCCTCCTTCCATATTTCTCACACTCCCTCACCCAGTGATTAGATCAAATGTGCTTCGAAAAGCATTTATGAATACCATGGTTAAAAGAATTATAGCACAAGACTTCACTCCAATTTTTTCTTTGGTTTACCTTCTTTTTTTTCTTTTGTAAAGATAAATTTAGGGTAATGATAAATCAAAGAACAAAGATATACAATATAATGTAACAAAACAAACATGGGTTTGGGATCCACACAGAACTAATATTAAGTTTTATTTCTTTCACTAGGAAGGAATATTTCTAATTCCTCATGTGAAAAATATGGCAACGAATACTTATTTCTAGCACTAAGACGTGGAGTAGACATAAAGTCGATTGCGTGACTATGTTCTCATTAAGCAGTAGGTTGTCAATAAACAATAGCTGATAGTGTTGTAATCACTGTGCGTAATAACATTTTAAATAAGAGTCAATCTAGGTATGCTCTAATGATGCTTCATATAAAACAACACTTTTTTAAAAAGTTTTTAAAAATGCAAATCCACTATCCCTGAATTGTCACCCAAAAGTCTAATAAGGGTTTTGAAAGACCAAGAAGATTGCTCAAAACTACAGTGGCCCACATGGAATCAGATCCAGATAGGACTGTTGCTAGGCCTGTTAGGGCTCCTTGCTCCTGTCTTCAACGCCATTAACCCAGGAGTAGCTCTGGTCCGTGGCTCCCTTCCATTCAGTCAGCATGATACCTTCATCTTTACAGACATAAACTTTTCTACAAGTTTAAAAATGTACTTTCTTTGGAAAACTAGAACACAGAATCTTTTTAAAAGATCTTTATTTTCCCCCTCAAGTATCTTCCCAAAACAGCCAGATAGGAGAGACACATCCCCCTACACAAAACCCACACAAAAATATCAAAATCTGTTGATAATGAATTTAAATCGTAAAAAAAAAAATCCATACGCTAAAATCATTTTTATTTTTAATTTTCCCCTCTTTTTTCAAATTCATGGACATAATGTTTCTCATTGCAACTCAGAAACATCTCAAAATAGCTGCCAGAATCTTACAAATAAACATAAAACCAAGACTTTTGCAGTGTAAAAATAGTCCTCACTTCTGCTGTAAAGGTTGTTTGCCCTTCTAAATCTTTGTTAGGGTTGGGACTGAATAGGCAGCTTAGGCATGCAGCCACATTTAAATAAGGCCAGTTTTCCTCTCTGGAGATACTCATACATACAGCATTTTGTGCCCTCCATCTCATATATGTATGTGCATTCATTTTTTTTTAAAGTAGAGAAGCAGAATACAACCAGAGAGTTGAAAAATATGCATGAAACCAGTTCAATTGCAATGTAATTCATGCAGGGTTCTATTACATCATAAATTATGGCCCCAAAAGTTTGCTCTGAAGAGTATTATATTCAAAAGTGCCAACTACAATAACGATCACCCTTTTGTTTCATTTGCCTCCATATTTAAGTTGGGGGAATAGACAATTTAACGTTAGCACAACCAACATTTCCAATCAATGCTCTGGGAAAGAGGTTCACTCTCCTAGTCCCTTTCTTTGAGGTAACTGGAATCCCGTGTCTCACTTATTAATCTTCTGAAATGCAAAGCCCATGGTCTTACCAACGAGTCGCTGGACTCAGTTCCTGGAAGGTCCATTTTGATGGGGATTCTGGCTCCACCAGTTTTCATGGCACCATAATAGGTAGGAAGATCATCCCAGACTGATTTTTGTAAAACAGGTAAAATAGGGATGTGACCTACAGTTCAACTGGTGATAGTTTTCATGATAGAGAAAATCTTTTCTCATTTCCTATACCTTAAAAAATGAAAATCAGAAAAAATTGAATTTCGTTCCTTTTTGTGATTCACTGCAGGGCCTTAGCAGATGTTCGGCGATACAACCTCTGCCTCACCTCCTCCCGCTTGCCTTTTAGTTCTGGAAAAATCGGTTGCTCGGCATCTTTGGAAATCTGCCAAGTCCTCCCCACCATCTTCCAGCTTTCAAGTGTTTGTGCTTGCTGTGCCTTCTGACAGAAATGCCTAGTGGGAGACAACTTTGCATGGATATTTGTGTTTCTGTATATTTTGTGGGAAATGCACAGATTCCCCTGTTTCAGTCCAACATTTCAAGGACAGGTGTACAGCATACATCTTTCCAGAAAAAGGATTTTATATCTCTGAAGAAAAGGGCAGGCATGCTTACTGCCCACTATAAAATATTCAGGTTCCCTAGGCCGTTCTCCTAACCTTGACTGAGAAGTCTGTTAGAAATAGCCAAAGGGAGCCCTAGCCCTAGCGCTTTCCAAGCAAAGCATCCATAAACACCTCTGAATATTTCCCCACTCTATTCCCTGCGCACTGCTCAATCAACGTGAGGGCAAACAAGGGCCATCCTTCTAACCGTGTGAGAAAACAGGGCATGTTAGACTGGCTTCCATTGTTTTGCTCCAAAACCAAGTGTTAAACTCAGCTCTTTAAACTGCACTGGGCAGTTTAAGACCTAGGAGCAGATGAAAGGTCAATTTTGAATCATGTTCATCCTCTGCCTCTGACTCATGCAGGTGTCACTAGGAGGTCCCCACCATTGTAAATAGTGATTTCTTTCCAGGGGCACCGAATATACTCTAGGATTATACTTGTATAGAAACCAGGGGTTAACTTGTCTCCCTCATAGAAGGAGGATGACACAACAGGATCTCAGTAGAACTTTGAGTATTTAAGAAAATATTGCAATAGCTTAGTGTCCCTCAGGTGAGTTCCGGTGGAAAACTTCTGAAGGGATAAGCGTACACCCTATGGGCAGTTACTCTAGGACAGCAGTCACTCAACCAGAAAGCATGGCATTCCATGCATTCCTCACTTTGTCTGAAGCCTCTACTGACCTCACTTCAGTTTTGGAAGACTTCAAGTCAGTCTCCTCTCACTGACGAGGACAGTGGTTAATGGAGTTTCCATAGCGTTCTTCCCCGTAGACCATGGCAGAATCTGTATAGTTACTAATATATTCTACTACATTTACAACAATGTCCCAATTCAAGTATTAAGACCAATACAGAAACTTAAACCGAGTTTGCTGATTAGATTCAGGAAGTATGTTTGCACATAATAACACTAGACTGGCTTTCCTCTGGCACTTACATTGCTGTTGAGAGTAAACTTGAAACATCTGAGTCAAATTGAATGTTTTTGGTCAAGTGCTCTGGCAGTCAGGTCAGTCAAGGTGGCTGGCTGGTGGAGTGAGATATGTGACTTATTCAAGAGAAAAGTAGCTAAAATTTGAGACTGGGTGGAAGTGAAGAGTGGATGCTGTTGCCAGTCAATTCTCCACAGGTCTTTCTCACCTCTACACATCTTTTAAGCAAGGAACTGACTGCACTTAGTCATGGGAATATCTCTAAGAGATATCTGTATCGTGAACACTGGGAGACAAGACTAAGAGGGTAAGGTCGGGCATGCTTACTGCCTATTATAAAAGAGGCAGGTTGTCTGTGCTTAGAGTTTTTGTCCCATGAGCCAACATACTGCTTATTCAGAAGTGGTCTACTTTCATCTGAGTTCTCCTTGAGAATTCTGGCTGAGAGAACTGCCTCAAAAGTGTGGATACTTTGATGTTACTCCTGTTGTGAATAGCAAACTGTCCCTTCTCTGTACACTTGGAATCTATGCCTGTTCTTTAATTCATGAAATTTTGGGAAGTTAACACATTGGTTTGTAAGTAAGGCTGTTTCCAGATTTTCAACAATAGCTCCTCTACCTGTTGCCTCACCCTCG